AGAGTCAATAATCCAGGGAGAGGGTTTGGATGACAGACAAGCTATACCTGAGTGGGCAAGGGTGGCAGTAGTATGCTGTGAAGTAGTCTGAAGGAACCTCTCATACTCATCACACGGTACACTCACCATCTCCTTCCCGGAAACAGATGTAGATGTGGAAGGAGTTAGATCTGCCTGTTGGTTATCACTGACATCAACCCCACCAGGTACTGCATGATTGGCCCATGTAGAAGGAGGGCCATGGAGATCATAACAGAAATTCACCAAATGTCCATCCCTGCCACAATGGGTACACTTCCTTGTAGAGTTACTTTTTCCTTTACCACGGCCTTCCCCTGAGTCACGACCACCACCACGGCCAAATACGGAACCACCACAACCTCCTCGGGAGGCATGTCCTCCCCCTTTAGTACCACGTCCACCTCCTCTGGCTATCACAAATGCTGATCTATCATACTGTGTGGGATTCTCTGTAGGTCCCAAAGAAATCCTACGAAGCCGTGCAAACACTTCCTCAAGTGTAGGAAGAGTAGAGCCCCATAATATTTGGGCCCTAACTGGTTCATATTATGATTTCAACCCCACTAAGAACCTAGTGACATCTAGTTGTTCCCTCTGTTGTTGCTGAACCTTAACATCTAGAGTGAGGGGATGTTAGACATTGAGTTCATTTCTGAGGTTCTTCATACTGGCATAGTACTCTTCTAGGGTTTTATTCCCTTGCTGCAGATCGAAATACTCCTGATAAAGCTGATATACCCTTGTAGTATTATCCTGCCCAGAATAAAGCTTCTTGGCATATTCCCATATGTCCTAAGCTGTATCTAAGAACATAAAGTTGGCACTTATTTTGGGTTCGATACTATTCCATAACCATGTCATGATTTGGGCATCTTCCTGTTCCCAATCATCAAACCCTGAAGAGTCAGCAGGTGGTTTATCTTCCTTCACATGCTTCACTTTCCTTTTTGCCTTGAGAAAAACTTCCACTGACTTGGCCCATGGTACATAGTTCTCACCATTAAGTTTAATTGAAGTCATCTGCACACTCAGATAGTCAGAGGGAATTACCACACTAGGTTTCTGATCACTACGGCCATCTCCAGTTGCTGCCATGATGCTCTTCCAATGCTACTTCTAATCTGAATTCCCGGTTGCCAACTAAGTACTGTTGTCAGGAGTTTGATGTTCCAAACACTACAGCAGTCCCCAAACACAGTTGATAGGTACACAAACTTTTGTTCTTGTTCACACCACTACTGATTTCACAAAATCATGGATCACACTGACATTAATTCAGCAACTCACTGACCGCATACAAGCCCTCTTGAAACTGCTCAATAGAGATTGAGCATCACAAGCACCACCACACAACCATAGCTGTCACACATGGTACAGATCTGTCTGACCTTTTCAGAGGGCACTACAAGTCCAAAGAAAACATCAACTACTGCCACTGCAGTAACCTGTCAGTCAATTCAGGTCACTTGTGACAAACAAAGGCTTCAAAACAACTACAGACCAACATAAAGGGTCAAACATAGCCTTACACCATTCGGCCACTGTAAACACAACCTGTTCTTGGACCTTTTTCCAAGAACCAAGGCTACAAACAACCTAGTTCTCTAGGTTCTGATCAGTCCCCACAGATTTTGAAGGCTTTCAACCCAAAAATACCAACAACACACAAAAAAAAGAAGTAACCAACCTTCGATGGAGAGCTTCAGTCGACCATCCACTTCTGAAGTTGTTTTTTTTTTCTTGAAAAACAGTCAAGTTCTGCGCAGAGGAAGAAGGACTGAGGTGTTCTTAGACCTAGGCCGAATCTGTGTTCTCCATTTTTTTCAGCCCAGAAAGAAGAAAAAAAATGAGGTCACGAACAGAAAGGAGCAGGTCACAAATCTATGAGGAGATTTAGAGAGTGATGTCCTGCTCTGATACTACGTTTGTTCTGTAGCTACAGTAGTTCGAACCAGGAGAGGATAAGAAGAAGAAGAAGAAGATGAAGAGATCAATCGAACTTGATAAACTAAACCCTATCAGTCAAACCTTAATATGGATTAGCCTCTAATTAGTAGTACAAAGACTAAACTACCCCCACTTAAGTATGGGACAGGAAGTCTCTACCCTTATTCGGCTAGCTCTAACATACCCCAAACCCAGTCCTTGGCCAAAAACCGTTGAATTGGTTAACGGCCCATTGATTCAGGCGGCTGAACTGTCAACTTGTTCAACCCATTAGACGGTTTTGGTCATTTTTTATTTTAATTATGTTTTAAATGTTTTGTCAAAGCGGGTCGTCTGTTCGAACCGAACAGTTGAACCATCTACCCGAAAACTGGTGGCTAGAATGGTTCTAGTTTCAGATCAGTTTTTTTGAACCCATATATTTGGAACCAATATTTTAAATGTGCAGGCGTGATGCAAGGTGTTCCACTACCTAGAGGAGTGAAGCGTAGTTCAAAACATAGGAAGCATAAGCGTTCCTGAACACAAGGTGTAAGCCTCCTTAAGAGGAGGAGTATTAGGAGGAAGAAGAAAGAGGGGGAGGAGGAAGATGAGGAAGGAGGATCTCATTTTTATTTATTTTTAATAAAAATATTTTATATTAAAAAGAATGGGGGATTTGGTCTTTCCCCTTCTCTTTTCTTCCCTTTTCTTTTCTTTCTTTTCTTCTCTTTCTTTCTTTTTCTTTCCTTTCCCTTTCCTTTACTTTCCTTTCCTTTCTTTTTTTCTTACTTTTTTCTGTCTTTTTATATGATGCGTGTGTGAGGCACATGAGGCCTATGCCTCTAACACGACTCATGAAAAAGGCATATGAAGCATACACCTCAGAGGTGTTAACACCTCTAGCATACGCCTCAGGGTGTTTTGGGGGCACCTCCCCTTGAGGCATACCTCCAAGCGTATGCCTCCCACACCTTTTAAAACACTGGTTAGAACAAGGCTTAGATGATGATGATGATGATGCTATCTATTATCTTCCATACTAAACAACAGGTTGATATCTCTGTGGACGTGGACACAGGACCAAACCATATAAAAATCTTGTTGTGAAATATGCAAAGTTTAGGTTGAAGCCAATAGGTTTTCAACAAAAGCAGTACATGAAAGGAGATATAGATCAAGTAGCATTTAATAAGTTAATAGATATTGCACAAGTATTCATACATCACGAAAAATGGGAAATCAAATATCATGTTAGCATGGAAAATTGTGAATCTTCTTTGATATAAATTGTTTGAAAAAGTTGAGGTTATTTTTTTGTTATTCTTGTAAAACTGTTCTGCAGTGATGACACCTAGTCACCTGGATCTCTTGTATCTCTTTTTTTCGCAATAAATTTTCATTTTTATTTATCTTCAAAAAAAATCATGTAAAGACATCAAGAAGATGTTTACCTTTATTTCTTCCACTCCTCTGGTCCCCAGCCTTGTTTCAACATCACATAGCAAGTGACAAATCAGATCCTTGGCTTCATCTGAAATTTTTGGTTCCTCGGGGAACTTCAAGCATGTTTTCCAATTAATTATCTGATACACAACAAAAAAGTAAATATGTTTTGCATGACAGAGAAGCAAATAGGAAAGACATAATCCCCGTGACGTACCTAAGAAGGAAAAATGACTTTACCTTCCGACAAGTGATCCTTGGATCTTCAGAACAAAAGGGAGGATAGCCGATAAGCATCTCATACATTATTGCACCCAAAGACCACCTAAAATACACAAAATTTGTAGAAGTTTAGGGAACTAATTATGCCAACGAAAAATCAATTTCATCCACAATGAATCCTATCAAACAATAAGCTAAAAGCAAGGTTCAAAGTTTCGATACATATCGGCCGATATGTATCATATTGGGGGCTTCCCGATACGCCCCTGCAGTGGCTGTTTCGGGTTAGACCATGGTTCAAGGGGTAGACGGGCCTTAAACCGACCCCTCTTAACCAGATTGAAAAAAAAACAAAACTAGAAAAAAAGAAAAGAAAAATGAGCCTCGATACAGACTGATATGCCCCTACCAGTGTATCGGCTGTATCGATATTTTAAACCTTGGCTAAAAGATCCTTTATAGAAACTAGAACATATTCCATAGAAGTCAATGATGTGAAAAAACAATTTCAACTCACAAAACCTTATCCCAATTATTTGGGTCATCTGCACATTTTGTTTCACCAATACATTATCAAGGAACAATCAGGAAATAGTACATCGAAATGAATATATCAGGAATTTTGGTTGAGGTGAGACGATCACCCCATGCCTGTAGTCTCTGCTTGGGTTCTAGTGAAACAACCACACGCCTATTAATCTCCTGTCTTTTTGTGTTCTTTATTTGGTCTTGGTTCTCTTCTCTCTTTGGGTGCAGGTAGACCCCACCCCTGGGCGTGGTGAGCCTCTTTGATCCAAATGTTTCAGGCAACCAAAGATGTGTGGAAGGGTTACGTGGAGAGCTACAAGAGCAGCTGTGCCTTGGTCAGTTTGGGAGGAAAGAAACAATATGATCTTTAAAGGTGTGGTTAGATCCAAGAAGGAAATTGTAGGTACCGTTAAGGTTATTCATTGGTTGAAAACAATTGATTTGTTTAAAGACTTCTCAGCTGAAGATATATACAGGAATTGGAGTGTTGTGGCAAGTTCTTTCAGGCCTATTGTACAGGAACTTTGTTCCCTGGTAACACAAGAAAGGGTGAAGTTGAACTTTGATGGAAGCTCTATATGCCATCCGGGCCCATGGGTATAGGGGGTATTTTCAGAGATGGAAAAGGCAGAATAATTGATATGTATTCAGGATCAATGGGAGTGGGAGATTCTTTGAGAGCGGAGGTCATGGCTTTGCTTCAATGTGTAAGATATGCCAAACAGTTGGGGCTACACCACATTGAGATAGAAGGGGATGCCAAATTGATAATTAGGTGGATGCAGTCAGGTTGTTTGGGAGCCTGGACACAGGGACTACTTAAGGGATATTTTTAGTTTAACAAGGGAGATTAGTGTTTACTTTAAGTGGACAAGAAGATCAGCTAATGGATTTTCTGATACCTTTGCAAAATAAAGGATGGTATGACTAAGTGGAATTATACCAGAAATGATTTTTTCCAAGGAAACTTAATGGTATCACATAAGCAATAAGATAAGATCAAGATGTTTTTTTATCATTTGAAAAGAAAACCAAGAATGTACTAGAGGACTGATTAAGTGCAAGTTAAAAGCTCTTAAAGGACAAAAGAAACCCAAATGGGACCTCTTCAAGTGGGGAGAAAGATTAGACAGCTCATTCTTTAACAGAAGATATGCCCCTACCTAGTGTTGAATGGATGACTGGAATTCATACAGCTCACCAACCTAGGTGCAAGAATATGGATGATGAAAATAATGGCAACTAGAGAAGATCTACCCATGATGAATTCTTCTAATCATTTGATATATGACCTTGTGTGGACCCACAAAAAAATATATCAAACCATTTTACTATCATTCAACACAATAAAGACTATGATATGTCCAAACAATAACACCAGCAGTTGTCACCAAATAAAATCAAGCAGGTATTGATTGGCAAATAATTTTCAGAAGTAGTTCCCACCAGTCACATTCTATTCCATAACCTTTCTTCAGCAACACTTCAGGTGCCATATAATCCAGAGTTCCTACAGTAGAATAAGCCTGCAGAACAAAGATGCATAATAATAAACTCAGTGTAGATAGGATATACATATAAACAACGTAGCTAACAAATCATCAACAGCAACATAGCTAATTATAGTTTCATCATTATTTTAGTAGCACTGAAAGCCACTGACTAAAACAAGAAAAAGAGAATGCCTGGATCATAGAGCAAAGATGTTACCAGTACACGTCGATTGCGTTTCCACTGTTGTAACTGTTCTTTTGGCATCAACCAAGGTGCTCTATCACACACAAAATGTCCTCCAGTTTCAGTTTTTGTGGATTCTTGTAAGCTGACTGCCTCATTTTCCAAAAAAAATGATGAATATTTAAAGTCTAGGGGTTTGCACAAGCCGAAATCTGAGAGTTTCACATGTCCATTTTTGTCCAGTAACAAATTGTCTGGCTTTATGTCTCTGCAGGCAGGAAAAAATGGGAGTTTAAATTCGAAGCCTATTAGAAATATTTTCTCAATTTCGAAAAGGCTAAAGATAAAGCTTTAGGTTTGAAGAAATATGATTAAAATAAAAGCAACATGAGAAATCACCAACAGTGTTGTGGATCAACATAACATCAATAACCATCAGACAATAATGTGGCAGCGAAGGAAAATCCAGGATCATATGAATATTATAGTTTATTGGCATACCTTTATAGGATCTATAATCCATATTCAAAACTGGGAAAATTGGATAATCTTCATTGTTCTGTAAATTTTTCCAGTGGGGGGTTGTGAATGTGAGCTGAAGGAACCTTTTTTTTTTTTTTTGAACTTTTAGTCTATTCATCTTATATGGAGGAAATATTTGCTCTTTCATAGGGATTTATATTTAAAACCTTGTTCACTTGTTTTCTGAAGTATTGGATTTGTACTTCTCAAAAAGGCATAGTTGTATCAAAATTATATCCAAATATTTTACAACTGTTACTAGGTCAACTCTCAACAAGGTTCAAAGTTTCGATATGATACATATCGTTGTGCGTCATATGATGCGTTGGTTTTCACAGTCATCAATATGCTGAAAAATGAGAGTTAGGTAAATAAGTGTTTTAACTATTAATAATTGATTTGACATGCCTTCTGACATATTGTCAGATCAAAAAGTTAAACAAAAAGTATCAACAGAGACAAACTCTCGATAAATCAATTTTGTGTATTGAGATGGCTAAAACATGTTTTGTGGATTTTGTGTGTTTTATTCAGATACTTTTTTTATGATTTTAGAGGAACATGAAGTTAACTTCTTTTATATGAATTTGTTTCATGTGTTTTATTTTCAGGTTTAACTTGTTTGGAAAAGGTGTTAGAAATAAGGAGATTCAAGCTTTAATTTTTATTTAAATATGTCTGCTTAATTCTTTTCTTTTCTTATTCACAAATCACAATAAAAATTTCTTTTGACTTTTGAATAAACATGATTTTTTTTTGTATAGAAACAACCAAACAACCGGGAACATATTAAACAACCTTAAAGGTTGTTGAAGAAACAAGAATATTTGACTTAAGAAGCTAAGATTGTTGCAGTTCTGCAGATGATGAACCAACTGAAAATAGGCTTATTGTTGGAGGGAGTGAATGTGATATGACATTGCCATGTAGAGAATTCAAATATTTCTATGAACTTGAGAGATGTGATTGTTGATTGAATTCGATATTATTTGTTCATTTCTAATTGTTTGTAAGAACAAATGGAATTAAAGCGGAATGTGAAACAGTTTCTTTGTAGGAATTAAAATGGATTATGTTCATTTGAGCAGTTTTTAAGATTTAAGAATGTGAAACGGTTTCTTTGTAAGTGGTGAACATGTGTTCTAATACGTAAAGGAAAACCATAGTGAAATCTTTAATAAAAAAGAATAATAAAATAAATCATTTTCTTAGGTAGGGCTTTAGGCTTTTTATAAGGGTTGGGCTCGGGCTCGGGCTTGAAAAAATTCTGTTAATCAAGAGTGAAAGCCCAGCCCGGCCTGGCCCATGGACAAGTCTAATTGTGAGTCATGTGAATTGTCAAAGCATTGTAAAAACTCTTATTCTGCAAGTAATAAAAGATCTACAATTCCTTTTATATTGTTCACTTTGATGTGTGGAGGCCATACCATTTACCTTACATGGGTGGTTATAAATATTGTATTCTACTTACTGATGATTTTTCTCGTTACACATGGCTTTATCTTATGGGTTCCCATGATAAAGTATCCAAACTTGTAAACAGTTTCATGAATTTGTGCTTACCCAATTTGGTACTCACATCAAGATATTTCAATTAGATAATGCTAAGGAATATTTTGAGAAGTATCTTGTTTCATACTTTGCGAAGTTTAGGGTTATACATCAAAGTTCTAACCCCCGTACTCTAGAACAAAGTGGGGTAGTAGAGGGAAAGAACTGACATATTGTTAAAGTAGCCAAGAGAATCCTTTTTGCTTCTCATGTTCTAAAGAGATTTTGGGGTGATGTAGTGATGACACCTACCTTATTAACCGCATGCCTTCTCAAGTCTCGGCGTTCAAATCTCCCTTTGTTGTCTTGTTTCTTGAAAGTGAATCGTTTCCTATTCCTTTGTGTGTCTTTGGGTGCATGTGTTATGTTCATGTCCCTAACTCTCAGAGACCTAAGTTTGAACCCCAGGGCCAGAAGTGTATTTTCTTAGGGTATGCCTCCACACAAAAGGGCTATTGTTGTTTTTATCCCACTAGTGGAACTCGTTTTGTCTCTATGGATTTTACCTTTGCAAAGTCGCTTCCATTTTATGCTTATTCTTCTGAGGGGGAGCATTCTGTTGAACTATTTTCTTCACCAATTCCTCTACCTTCTCCTATTGATCTTGAGGTTAAGTCACTTGTGGTTCCTTTTGTTCTAGTGGCAGAGCCTTCTTTTCCCAGTTTTACCATTCCTACTCCTCCTCCTCCTACTAATCCTCCAATTTTCATTACTCATCCTATTGTTTAATGGTGGTACCAGAGAAAAAGGCTACGGCATGATCAGGTTGTTCCCTCATCTACAGTTGAGCCTCAAACACTCTCAACCCCTAAAGAGATGACAAGTTCTTCACCGCCTACTCCAAAACCTCCCTTCCCAAACTTGGACTTACCTATTGTTGTAAAAAAATGTGAGGAAATGTATAGCAGATTGTATTTCCAAACACCTATCTTACAATTTGTTATCCCCATCTTTTATTCTTTCTTAGCCCCCATTTCTTCCCAACCTATACTCAAGTCAGTTACAAAGTCTTGTCTAAGCCAAAATGGAGGGAGGCTATGAGAACTAAAACAGAAGCACTTCATAAAAACCATACCTAGGATATTGTAGATTTGCCTCATAAGAAGGAACCAATAGGATGTAAGTGGGTGTTCATTATCAAGTATCACGTTGATGGCTCCATTGAGAGGTATAGCGCTCGACTAGTAGCCAAGGGTTATACTTAGGTATATGGAGCTGATTATATGGAGACTTTCTCACCAGTTGCAAAAATGACCATAGTAAGATTTTGTTATCCTTGGCAGTGAGTTATGACTGGCCCTTAATATCAATTTGATGTGAAGAATGCTTTCTTAAATGGAGACTTGACTAAAAAGGTTTATATGTCACTTCCACCGGATATGTATGGTAAGGAAATGTGGGGCAAGGTATGCAAGTTGAAGAAATCTCTTTATGGCCTCAAGCAATACCCACAAGCTTGGTTTGATAGATTCAAAGCTGCACTTGTTGAGTTTGGCTATACATGAACACAGGTTACCTTCCTCATTGTTTATGTTGATGATACTGTCGTTATAGGGAGTGATACAGAGGAAGTTCAGGCACTCAAGACATTCCTTAACTCAGAATTTGAAATTAAGGATTTAGGGGAATTGAAATATTTCCTGGGAATTGAAGTTGCTAGGTCTAAAGATGATATTTTCATCTCCCAACAAAAGTATGTGTTAGATCTTCTCACAGAGATTGAGAAACTCGGTGCAAAACCTGTTTCTACACCTATTGATGCTAACCATAAACTCCTGGATGATGATGGTGAGCTTTTGGCAGAAAGGAAGTGTTCCAGAGACTTTTAGGGAAGTTGCTATACCTTTGCATGACACGACCAGATATCTCATATGCTATTAGTGTAATTAGTCAGTTTATGCATGCCCCTAAAAACACACATATGGCTGCTGCAGAACAAGTTTTGTGTTACTTGAAGGGAACTCTAGGAAAGGATATCCTCTTCTCTAAGCATGGACACATGAAGCTAGAGGCTTACATGGATGCCGATTGGGTTGGTAGTATTGATGATAGAAGATCTGCATCGGGTTATTGTGCCTTGGTTACAGGGAACATTGTCTCCTAGAGGAGTAAGAAACAGTCAATAGTAGCTAGGTCTTCAGCTAAGGTAGAGTGCAAGACAAAACATATTGAAGTTAACTGGCATTTTATAAGAAAAAGGGTAGCTTCCAGAGAAGTTTTCCTTCCTTTTATTGCCTCGGAGCAGCAGTTAGCAGATGTTCTGACTAAGGGTGTCCCCAAGGCAAAGTTACAACATTGTATAAGCAAAATGGGCATGATTGATTTCTATGCTCAGATTGAGAGGGTGTGTAGAGATTATGAACCGAATGGACCTTAGTTTCTTTGTTTTTCTTTAAGTTATGTCTATGACTTGTGTTAGCAGGTAGTGGCCCTTAGTTATGGGCTTGTTTTCTCTTCTTCTATTGTTTTATATTGTTGTCTTTAGTGATGGATGCCCTACTAAGGGCACTCATGTAATTGTCCTTACTTTTTACAACAAAAGAATAAAAGAGATCATTGGGGGCTGAAAAGAGGTTTTGAACTACTCTCTCTTCATATTTTCTTCCATCTTCTTCCTCCATCACTTCTCTCTCTTCAATCTCCTTCTTTTCTCCTGTTTCTTTTCTTTTAATTCAAATTATTGCAAGTGTGATTTACAACTAACTATTGGCAAGCATAGACAAATCTATTTGCAATTAAAAACATCTAGAAACTAAATACCCAAAAAAAAGAAATTAAAAACATCTAGAAACTATGATGTTAATACCTACACCTTGTGTAGTATTAGATCATGTACAGATCAATCACAATACCTATGAACATAGTTATGCTGGTGAATTGAATGAATTGCTAGAATGCTCTCTGCTATGTAAAACCGTGAAACATCTTCAGAAAGAACATCCTTTCTCATCAGAAGAGTCATAAAGTCACCACCAGGTAAATATTCCATTATAAGGTACAAGAAATCTGAGTCCTGGAATGAATAAAAAAGTTTTACAATGCACCGGCTATCAACTTCAGCAAGCAAGTTCCTCTCAGATCTAACATGCTCAACCTGAAATATAGAAGGATATGAGTAAAATGATTGATTAAAATATTGTAATGTAGAAAAACAAATTAAAACTGACAATCTTTTAAGTATTCATTTATCATTTTGCACTTGTAACTAAGACTTGAAAAATGGCTATTCTCACATCTATGAAACCTATGACACTAATCTATTTTTTTTTTCAGTAACAGCACAAAATTTAAAAGAAACTATTGCACTTACTAATCTTGGTTTGCATACACAAAAAGATATAATACCTCTTTTTACTGGTAAGATACAACTGGGAACACAATATCATGTTTGTAATATAACATCTCAATGAACAGGGCTACAGCCTACAGATCAAGACATTAAGAGAAGACTTCAATACTCTTTCAAGTTTGAACTATACATTAGTTACTAAAATTACCAATATAATGTTATGAACTTACAAAATAAAAATAAATGTCATAAAACATTATTAGTTTTTGATGATATCCTGCAAATCCATTGATGTGCATGCATGGTATGCTAAAATTGCTTGTTAACAAATTGTCACTCCTACAGTGCTTTTTCTGTTGTCATTCTGTAAAGTTTATTGCTGATAATGTTTTTCATGCACAAAAATTATATAACTATAGCTTCAGAAACAAGCTTCTCACTTTCATCAAGTGAATTGATACCGATGCCAAGATAAGTAGGCCATATGATTTCAAACTAGGATTCTCAAAGAGAAAGGAATGGCATGTACATTGCAACTTAATTCAACTCTATATTTTCTACACTGGGGACCAGTATGAAAATAAAAACTAAGACAACAAGCATCAAAATGAATTCAAGTCTTAAAGCCGCAACTTTCTGCTAAGTGTCAGAGGTTAGGTCCATATCCAGACCACCCCCCTCTACGCAGAAAATAGCCTGGAGTCTCTGGACAACACACTATCAGATTCAACCAGGTTTAAACAAAACAACCTCAGGGCAAGGTGACATCCATAACCAATTTTAAACAATGGTCTTTACTAAGGAGTCTTATTTATTACTTTCTATACAAGAAGCAGTTCAGTCCAACCCATTAGGGTTGCCTGGCTACCAAAATCCTATCCTATAGACTGGGATGATCAAGTTTGCTACATTTTCCATCCAGTTCACATGTGTGAAGAACAGCAAAGGACATGTTCCCAGATTAAACAGTTCAACTAGCAGATATGACAAAAACTGTTATAGAAAATAAATATTATATAAGTCATGCATTTCTGTAGAGAACACTGATGTGGTCCCCATAGTGTTCGTTCGTATGGCGGCAATATTTCTGTTAGATATGTCAGTGTTAGTTGGTAGTTATTTCAGCTTTATTATTATTTATTTCTTATTCTATTTGTCATATAAGCAATAAGGGCAATTCAGCCTTTTACAGTTATATAAATACTAAGAGTGGGTCGGCAGAAATCATAACCTTCCCTCTCTTTTTCTGAAACTCTCTTCGTGTACTTCTTCTCTTCCTCTCTTCTCTTCAATTTTTCATCCTTCTTTTCTTTTAAATTCAAGATTGATTGTAGTCTAGATCAACTACTTGGTATCAGAGCCGACTTAGGAGCTCTTATGCTAGTCTGATTAGGCCGACTGCATGAGAACCTCCTAGGTTTGGAAATTTTTCAACAAGGAAGGAGGATCTGCTGATTCTTGGAGGTTACTGTTAGTGTGCGGCTGCTACTAAAGAGATTGTAAAAGTCTGGGAGAGTTCCAGTAGTCGAGAAGAATCAGAAGAAGCTTCGGATCCTCAAGATTAGGGTTTTGCATCAACCAGAAGGTGGCGGCCAGAGATTTTTTCATAAAGTAAGTTTTTTTCTTGTGATTGACTTTAGAAAAGATCATCTTGGTTTAGTCTGAGAGGTGCGGCTGGAAAATCTTTGTGTTTTCTTTAGGGTTTTGAGAGAAAACCCTAAAATTCAGAATTGTTATTTGTTTCAGATCAGAATTTGAACTGGTTTCATTCAGAACTCCGTTTTCTGTGTTCTTCGGAAGACCTAGGCCTGTTGTTATCAGTTGTTTGGGTGTTGTTTCTCCTATTACAATAATTAAAAAAGGGTTTTTTATTAATTCTTGATCAAGAATGGAGTTCAAGAGTCAAGGGGAAGGTGTTTTTGGGACTAGCAATTCTAGCAACATGTCTGAGAATACCTTTCAGATTATAACAGTTAAGTTTGATGGATCAAACTACCTAGAATGGGCTCAATCGGCCATGATGGCCATTGAGGGTAGGGGAAAACTGAGCTACTTGTTGGGAGATGTGAAAGAACCAACTAAGGAGAACCAAACCTATACCAAATGGGTTCAGGAGAACTATTCGGTTATGACATGGTGTGCAACTCTATGCAGCCACATATCAGCCGGAACTATTTGTGGGCAAAAACAGCTAAGAAAATCTGGGATGTCATAAAAGAGACCTACTCCCAACCCCTTAATGTTGCTAGGGCTTATGAACTGAAATGTGAGGTTAATAACCTTAAGCAAGGAGAGAAACCAGTCTCGGTTTACTTCTCTACACTAAAATCCTTGTGGCATGAAATTGACCACCTAGAAACACTTGAGTGGGAAAGCCAGAAGGATGCACAGACTCATAGAATGCAGGTTGAGACTAATAGGGTTTTTGAGTTCCTAGCTGGTCTAAATCCTGAGTATGATATTATGAGACAGCAACTACTGACAAGAAACAACGTGATCCTATCACAAGCGTACTCCTTAGTGCATAGTGAAGAGACTAGGAGAAAGGTTATGATGCAGCACTAGCCCTTCCCACCAGCCTTGATAGTAGTCAAACCTAAGTTTGGGGGTGATACAAAGAGGGATATAAAGAAGGAAGACAAGCAGGATCTAGTAATGTGAACATTGCAAGTAACCCAAGCATACTAAAGACACCTGTTGGAAGTTGCACCCTCATTTAGACCCAACAAAACTCAGGAACAAAAGGGGTAATGCTAATATGGTTGTTAATACTGATTGTACCTCCTCATTGGGCACAAAAGGCACACCTCTAGACACCCTAGCTGCTTTCCGGGCTGCCCTGACTCAATTGGAAAAGGAAGTTGGCAATTCAGCTCAATCATCTCAGCCGTCATCATCTTTTTCTCATTTAGGTACTCGGGCCTCAACTTATCATGCTTCAACTCCAGGTAACACTGAACATTGTTGGGTAATAGACTCGAGTGCATCTAACCATATGACTGGCTTGCCATCACTGTTCACTACCTATCACTTATCTTCTGGTAGAGATAAAGTGTCCATTGTTGATGGTTCCCTTGTTCCAATTTCTGGCAAGGGAGACATCAAATTGTCTAATGCCATCTCCTTATCTTCAGTTCTGCATGTTCCTAAGCTTAATACTAACTTGCTTTCGGTCAATAGCATTACAAAACATCAGAATTGTTCAGTAACCTTTTTCCCTAACCGATGTGTTTTTCAAGACTTGGAGACAAGGAAGGTAATTGGGACTGGCCGTGAGACGAATGGGATCTATCTACTTGGAGAAAGTTCATATTGGGAAGATAGTGAAGATAGGAAGTCTTTTGTTTCTCAGTCTGTTAGTCAGGTTATGCTTTGGCATAATCAGTTGGGTCATTTATCTTTTTGGTCTTTGAAGAGTTTGTTTCCTGATTTATTTAAGTCTGTTCAGATGTCCAGTTTGAGATGTGAGAGTTGTGAGCTTGCAAAGCATTGTAGAACATCTTATTTATTGAGTAATAAAAGAAGTAATAATCCTTTTGATATTGTGCATACCAATTTGGGGTCCTTACCACATCACTGTTATGGAGGGGTACAGATATTTCTTGTTGTTTGTTGATGACTATGCCCGTTTTTCTTGGGTTTACCTTATGCGTTCTCAATATGAGGTTCCTACTTTGACCCGGATCTTTCATCAGATGATTTTAACCCAATTTGGGATCAAAATCAAAATCTTCATATCTGATAATGTGAAAGAATACTTTGCCAACCAATTAGCCTCTTAATTGCTTGACCATGGGATTATTCATCAAAATACTTGTCCTCATTCACCACAGCAGAATGGGGTTGCTGAGAGGAAGAATAGGCACATATTGGAGGTGGCCAAAAGCATCATGTTTAACTCCAATGTGCCTATTCGTTTCTAGGGAGATGCTATTCTTACAGTAGTGTATCTCATTAACCAAGTTCCTTCACAGGTTCTTGACATGAAGCCTCCATTTACCCTCATATACCCTGATAAAGACTTGTATATTGTTCCCCTTAAAACCTTTGGTTGTACTTGCTTTGCTCAGATTCTTGGACCTTATCGTTCCAAATTTGATCCTAAGGCCTCCAAATGTATTTTTCTTGATTATGCACATACTCAAAAGGGATATTGCTACTATGAACCCACTTCTGGGAGAAGATTTGTCTCTATGGATGTCACTTTCTTCGAGGATGTACCCTATTATCCTAAGGTTTCTCCTCAGGGGGAGAGTAGTGAGTGTGGGGTTAACTCATCAGAAGTTCCTTTACCTATTCCATTGAGTGATGAGGGATGTAATAGGGAGGGGTGTCAGAGGTGCCGGGATTTGAGAGTCTATCACAGGCGGTGGAGGCAGGTTGATTTCGGTCATCAGCAGTCCAGGCCAGCCCCAGTTCCTTCTGTGGATCCAGATCCATGTACTACAATCCCTTTATCAAATCCAAGTTCCACTGAGATACCTTCCACTGTTGAGCCTTTACCTCCTTTGGATGACCTTGGCCTTCCCATTGCAGTCTGTAAAGGCAAACGGCATTGCACCACATCCACAACCCACTGCATTTCCTAGTTCTTGTCCTATGATCACCTGTCCCCCTCCTACAGGTCCTTCCTCACATCTATTGCTGATATTCCTATCTCCAGAACAGTGTAGGAGGCTTTGTTAGTTCCTGAGTGGAAAGATGCAATGAAGGTTGAAATGGATGCTCTTCTGAGGAATAATACTTAGAAGCTAGTAGACCAACCTAAAGGGAAGAAACCGGTTGGATGTGGATGGATATTTATTGTGGAACATAATGCTGATGGTTCCATTGAAAGCTATAAGGCTCGATTAGTTGCAAAGGGATTTACTCAGACTTATGTTATAGACTACTTGGAGACTTTTGCTCCAATAGCAAAGACGACCACTATAGGGTTTTATTGTCCCTTGCAGCCAGTTACTCTTGGCCCTTGTTCCAGATGGATATTAAAAATGCCTTCCTCAATGAAGACTTGTAGGAGGAAGTCTACATGTAGTTGCCTCCTGGATTTTATGATGCAGAAATAGGAAAGAAGGTTTTCCGATTGAATAAAGCCTTGTATGGACTCAAACAGTCCTCCAGAGCTTGGTTTGATAGATTCAAACAAGCCCTTGACAGATTTGGCTATGTACAGGCCCAGTCATACCATACATTGTTCATTAAGAGATGGACTCTTCCTTGACCTTGCTTGCTATATATGTGGATGATATTGTAGTGACAAGGAATGATAACGATGAGACTGAGTCTCTCAAACAACTCCATCAAGAATTTGAAGTGAAAGATCTGAGAGAGCTACGATACTTCTTGGGTATTGAGGTAGCTAGACCTAAACATGGGATTTTTGTTTCTCAAAGAAAGTATGTTCTAGATTTGTTGGAAGAAACTGGAAAGTTAGGTGTTAAGCTTGCAGATACACCTATTGAACAGAACCACAAGATCAGTGTAGAGGGTGGAGAGCCACTTGAAGATAAAGCTATGTTCCAACAGTTAATTGGAAAACTCCTCTATCTTTGTCTCACACGACCTGACAACAGTTATGCAATCAGCATTGTCAGTCAGTATATGCACTCTCCTAGGACTACTCACTTACTTGCWGTTGAGAGGATATTAGCATATTTGAAGAGGTGCCCAGGTAGAGGTATACTATTCAAGAATAATAATCACATGAAGATAGAGGTTTATACAGATGTTGATTGAGCTGGGAGTGTTGATGATAGAAGATCTACCTCTGGATATTGTGCTTTTATAGGAGGTAACCTGGTCTCCTGGAGGAGTAAGAAGTAGAGTGTTGTTTCTCGTTCTAGTGCAATAGCTGAATACAGGTCTAGGGCTAATGGTGTGGCTGAAATCCTATGGTTGAAATCACTATTTGAGGAGTTGAGTATTGCTTATGAGAAGCTCTTAATGCTATATTGTGATAATCAGACTGCTATTAATATAGCTCATAATCCGGTATAGCATGACAGAACTAAGCATATTGAAGTAGACCGACATTTTGTCAGAGAAAGGGTTTCATCTCAAGAAGTGTGTCTTCCGTATATCACCTCCAACATGCAGCTTGCAGATCATCTCACCAAGGCGGTTCCGAGGAAGAAGTTAGAGGCAGATCTATGCAAGTTGGGAATGACAAATATCTATTCCCAACTTGAGGGGGAGTGTAGAGAACACTGATGTGGTCCCCATAGTGTTTGTTCGTATGGCAGCAATATTTCTGTTAGATATGATAGTGTTAGTTGGTAGTTATTTCAGCTTTATTATTAGTTATTTCTCATTCTACTTGCCATGTAAGCAATAAGGGCATTTCATCCCTTTTACAGTTATATAAATACTAAGAGTGGGTCAGCAGAAATCATAACCTTCCCTCTCTTTTTCTGAAACCCTCTTCGTGTACTTCTTCTCTTCCTCTCTTCTCTTCTTCTTCTCTTCAAATTTTCATCCTTTTTTTTCATTTAAATTCAAGACTGATTGTAGTCTAGATCGACTACTATTTCTATCTCCTAGTTCTGCCAAACAGAAATGGCATGCACAAACATAGTTGACTAGAGGTAATAAAAATTCTTTTAGAAATATAAGACAAGTGATATGCTTCATATTTTTTGTTGGGGACTTGATGCAAGAGAAGAACTAACCAACCAACAGGTCAAACTGATGCAGCCTCCATAATAGATATTAATTATTAAGAAACACTTTAATTATTCTGTAATTAAGGTATGTTTGTTTCCAGTGCAAACTTGATTCAGATACAAATTTTCAGCCAGTTCAGTTTTGCATCTATTTGTATGTAATCATGATTTGTAATCCTATCTGATACAAAATTTGTATTCCTTGTCTCATTTGCACTCACTGGTAATGAAAATTCTGCATATCAAAAACTGATGCAAAATTTGCACCACCATCCTCCCAATGTTTTCAAAAGTGCAAGGCGAAAAAAAAAAAAAAAGCACAATGGCCATTTTGTGCCTGAGGTGCAAGGCAAGGCGCGAACCTTTTTGAAGCAAGGTGCAAATTTAAAAAAAAAATCAAAAAATGCAAAAAAAAAAGTGTAAGAAAATCAAAATAAATAATGAAAATATTAAAAATAGTATTAATTAAAAAAATCAAATTTTAATTCTAAACTAAATGTTTTAAAAGGCCTATTAACTCAAATTAAAATGCATAAGCATAACATAAACACATTCAATGTAAAAAATGCAAAAGTAAAATAAAAGACAGCATACAAAACATATTCAAGCATGTCAAACTTTGAATTTCTTTCTTTCTTTCCCAATTGCATTATTTCAAATAGCTAATGTGATGTTATACATCTTTCATTCCTAATCCTACAAGCCACCTTTGTACCAAGCCCCACGAGGCATGCCCAAACAAATCCATGTTAAAGTGTTAAAGTCTTAAATTCTTAATCCCTAAAAAAATGACGTAATAATTTTAGTTATCTTCTAAATAATTATTAATTCTAAAAATGATTTAATAATTCTACGAGCTACTCCGGTTCGCTAGCACTCGCTCACCGAAGCTCTAAGAACCCCCTATTTGCTAATACTGTTTATTCATTTATCCTAATAAAAGATATTTTTAGAAGATAACTAAAATTATTTAATCATTTTTTGTAGGGATTAAGAGTTTAAGACTTTAACATGGACTTGTTTGAGTTTGCCTTGAGGGGCTTGGTTGAGGGCCCGGGGGCGGAGCCATCAGCCTGAGTGCTAGGCTTAAAAAATAGCAAAAAAGCGTAATTTTCAAAAAGGCGCACACCTGGGCTGAAGCGCAAGGTGCACCAGGCACACGCCTAGGCATACTAGGTGTGCACATTTTGAAAGTGCTGAGTCTAGGGCCTAGGCGTGCCTTTTAAATCACTGCATCCTCCTACCCCAATGCTCTCTCATATAAAGTGGGGACTGCATCATCTTGCTTCCTACCTCGATCTCAAACAAATAAACCTCTCTTATCTCCATTACCTTTCATGTAAGGTGGGAACTACATCATTTTACTTCTCACACACAAGTAAGATAAAGTCAAATCTGATGCAAAAGCAAACCAGAATTTACACTCAGCCAATGCAAATAAAATTTGCACTCCAAACAAACTGAACCTAAGGAGAAATAATATGGTTTATGTTGCATATAAGAAAATTAAAAGTAAGAAGAACAATGAATCTTGCAGGACTTAGAACTAGAAAGAATTTTAGGTAATTCACTTATAACTCTTGAAGGCATTGCACCTCCAAAATGTTGGCATCTCGAAAACAAAGTATAAAGCTGAAAACATCAATTTTATTTTGTTAGTTCCTTTTGTAGAAAAATCATGAACGTAAAGACCCCGACAATCTAAAACTTATACCCATAGATAAAAATACTTAGAACTGATTAAAAGCTTTAAAAGAATTGTCAAAAATAGACTTTTGACCTATTAAAAATTTTACCCATGTTTCAAAAAAAATGAAACAATTTCCTATACCACAATCTGCCAAAACAAACCCTAAAGACTGTAAAACTTTTTCAAAAAAATAAATTTTAAATTTAATAAACTCTAAATAAAAAACTCGAACAACTCAAAGGTTTCCATAAATTGGTAACAATCTGTGTCCAGTCATGAAGAAAACCAGCAATCTTAAACTTGTTGTATAAGTAATCAAATAACATTTGTATGCTACAAAGTCCAGCTAAATGGGCATGTTTTGACACCTCAAATTTAGGTAACAAGTGCTGTGAATTCAACAGTTCTCTCTCTAGCTTCTGGGTGAGATCCAATAAATTGACATATTACCTTGAATATTAGCACTAAAATCCCTGCATCAAGAATGTCCCTAAGAAAATTTTTACCCTGTGCATTTCCATGCGTTTTGATATTTTTCAGGAATCTAAATAAAACCAGGTAAAAAATGAATAGGTCACAACCACAGAATGCTAGCTACCAAGATGAGGTTTTGATATCTGCTTATGCGAGAGAGAGATTGTAGAAAGATATTAAAGCAAAGCACCAACCTGAACATCTTAAACCTAGGATTCCATTAGGTAACTAGATATAATCGTCATGTTTCAAGTATTTTGCAATTCCAAACTCTCAACCTGAGTTCAATGCTTATCTTTTCGTTCTCTGCTTTATTTATTTATATATTTATTTTTATCATTGGGGAGGGGGGAGATGGGGAGAGGCCAGTGGCATAATCACTCACAGTGACATAAATTGGCTAGGCCAAATGTGTATTGGAATGACATGGGAGATCTTAGAGTGGCAGGTTTCCTCAAAATCAGTGTTATTATACCATAAATGAGAAATTCAGATGTGCCTACCATTTTTCCAACTAAAGAAGTGCAGTTCTAAATATGAAATTTCAGGAGTTTAGAACAGAAAAGAGGAAATAGCTGCAATCAGCCAACCATATAGAGCTTCCAAATGAAAGTATTCTCCAACAGTAGTTTCCACATAGCAGATTCTGTTCTATACTATCACATCAATCGCTTTAATTGGGATATTAACAATTTTCTTGAATGAATTTGGTCGAAGCTATTAGGAGACAAGGAGATATAGTAAATGTATCTTCCTGTAAAGGGCTTTCAAGGAATACTGCAGGAGTTGTAATAGTTAGAAGGTCATAATAATTTAGTTTGAGAATAATTTACCTGTCCACGACTGAGCATGTCTGATTTCTTCAACTTCTTCATGGCAAAAATTTCTCCAGTGCTTTTAGCGCGACAAACCCTTACCTGCATTTTTCGACATTTGTCATCCTTGTGAATGAGAATGACTCAATCTGATCTTTCTATATTTGTGCTTTAAAGCTGTGTTCGGTTTGAAACAAAAGTTAGGGAAAGGAAGGGAAAGGTAGGGAAACCTTTCCCTACCTTTTCTTTCAAACCAAATACAGCCTAAAGGGATCATCTAAGCCATGACACTGGAAACTCCTAAACAACCATGCAATTAAACTAGGAGAAACAGAATCTTAAAACTATAGATTCCTCTTCAGGTTTAGCAGTAAGTATAAATATGCACAAAAGAGTATGAGAATTTGAAAATGGCAATGGTAAGGATATGCAGGTAAGCTTCAGATATCAATAGGTGATGCCCCACTTGAAGGGGCAACATTTGCCCAACAAAAAACAGTTGAACAAAATACTTGGAATTTTATTAAAAAAAAAAGCCAAAGTAAATTTTCATTTTACATAGTAAAATAGCTCTTTTGGTGCAAGCCAGCTACTTAACCTCAGCTTTCATTAAACAAACAGAGAAGTGAATGAAATGAGAATCCAAAACCTATTTGAGTTAAATATACCATTCACCCAGGGAAAGAAATACAGCCCAACTTTTTAATTATTTGTAGGCATTCAGCTTCAAATTGAAATCAAACGTCTTGCTATACATCATTTATTGATTATTACAAATTGTCAAAATGGAGATGATTCATTTCAAGTTAATGATTTTTTTTCTTTTCAGAATAAATTCCAGGCCAGAACTTGACCCAAAGAGCTATTCATGCTCTTTTGTCATGCTTAACTCCGTTATTTTTCTAGTTAAATGCATCATTCCATCAATTGCATCAAAAGAGAATGTTCAGAGGACCTACTATTATATCCAAAGGTGAAGCTAGAAGATAGTTCCAAATGTAGTTCTTTTTTTTACAAATACCTCACCAAATGCCCCTCTCCCAATTACTGTTAATTGCTCGAAGTCATCAATTCCCACTTTATGTCTTTGCAATCGCATATACTCAGTTTCTTTGCGTTCCAAATTCCTCAGCATCTCTTGTTGTTCTTCATTTGAAATTTGAGCTTCTTGTGCTCTCTTTTGAAGTGCCCAACGTCTGAAACAGATTTATATGAAATTATATTACCATTTATTCTGAGATAGGAAAGGTGAATGGTTGAGATCTTGAAAAGAATACAAGGACAAGTAAAATGGATGGCATAGTCCAGGGTGTATAATTATGGCAAATAAAATCTTGTATAGTCCAGGATCTTATCTAGCTTCAGTTTTTCTATCCTAAATTATGAAAATAAAATGGTTAACAACTAATGTGCAAATAAGGTGATTTAAGCAAGTAGAAGTTTGCTAGTAACATGTATATAAATTCTCATCATCATCCAAGCCTTATCCCAACTATATGTGGTCGGCTACACCTGTTTCGCCAAATCATTCTGTTTAATGCCATATCCATTGTTAAATTATTGGTGCTTAAATCATTTCTTATACTTCTATTCATTTCCTTTTAGGCCTACCCCATACCCTTCTAGTCCATGGTTCAACTTGTAATAAACCAATTCTCCTCATGGGTGCTGTTGATGCTGTTGACTGTCTTCAATGCACATGACCAAACCATCTTAGTCTACTTTATCTCATTTTATCACATATTGGAGCTACTCCTAGGTTGCTTGGGATTACTTCATTAAAATCTTATCATGTCTAGTTTTTCCACTCATCCATCTCATTATATGCATTTCTGCCACACTCATGTCTATAAATTCTAATAAGCAAAAATAAAAGTCGCCAGACACAAGCCAAAATATGGACTTCAAGATATAAATTTTATTCAGAAAAAAAAAATGCATATGAAACAAACGACTATATATACCAAACTCTATTCATAATCCATTAGTAACGGGTGCATTGAAATGCCACGTAAAAGTAAATCATCTCATTAAGTTTTTCAATAGAACTTGAGCCACAATGTCCTCATATAAATTGGAGCCATTTCTAGCTGTATCGAAAAACGAAAAGGAATTCATTTCTTGAAAGTTGAAATCCTGAAATGACCTCATTTACAGATTTTCTTAATAACTGGAAATGGCACCATTTTAGTGGTAAAATTGTTCTCTCAAATCAAATGAAATCAGAAACCATAACAAGATCATAAATTCGCCGTTTCAGATGGTGGTCTACAAAAGTGCAAAAAACGAAAAAAGATAAATTCAGGTGAATTCAATTGTCACATTACTAAAACACTCTCTTACAGGTTTAAGCAGCTGGAAAGAATCGAACTGTACCTTTCTTTACGATCCTGAAGGCCTTGTAGATAATTCTTATAATGGTTCTCTATGAACTGCTTAGCAGCAGCAGCTTTCTGCCGAGTCACCGGCGAAGAAACAGAAATATCCGGAGAGGGGTCTGTTCTGAATTGTCCAACGCCACTACGATCGAGGCCCCGATCTTCCTTCAACTTCAAGGTCCCCAGCTTCATCCCGGTATCACCAGCCTCCATTTCAAACCAGAAGAAAAGAAACCTCCCTAAATCCAATCAGATCTATACTTCTGATAATAAAACGGTAACCCAATGAATCCAAGCTCGATAACTGCAAAGGAGTTCAAAAGCACCTTCTCTATGTTCTGCTTTAGAAAAATCAAAGGTTTTTCAGGAATCCAATTGCGAAAACGTGATGAGAATCTGACAGGTATTGAAACTTTCCAGGCTATCAGCACCTGTGATATATTATTTCCGATAACAGATCCAAATGGAACAGCACAGCAGAGAGAGAGGGGAGGGGGTTATTTCTCACGAGTCTATTGAAGAAAACGATGGGGTTGAAGGAGAAAATGAACCGTCATTTATAAGACAGTAACGCAAACTGTCTCTTTCGATTTATGTCTCGAATTCTTTTGTATTTTATTTCTTTTTTGGTTGGGAGAATGGAGTGAGACCGACGCCATTGTTTCCCTCGCGTTTACTGGATCCTCGGAAGGATCATTTTGTATTTATTTTGGAATTTAAAAAAAAGAAAAGCGGGAACCAGATAGATAGACTGCTTTTATTTTCTTTTATACTACAGAATACGGATATAGAATTTAGAGATAGAGGACGGAAATGCTGCTGACTGTCGGCAGTATCCCAGACTCCCGGTCTAAACGAACGTTCGTAGAATGGATCGATTGATTTGAGACGTGGAGGTAGAAAAAAAGAAAAAGCAAAAACAGTCAACACCTGATCCAAGTGCATTCTTCCTAATGCTAGACGGCTGTAGGATTCGAAGAAGATATGTATTGGTCTGAGCATTCGCTATTCGTTAGCTTTATTTGTGTTTGGACTTCGGAGTTGGGTTTGGCCGCTTTTAGCCGGCCCTAAGGGCTGAGGCCGCTGGCGCTGTCGGGTCTCGAGTTTATACATTTGTTACAGTTCACTTACCCTTGAGAGTTGAGATTCTATGGCTTATCTCATAAGAATAGAATAATAATAAATAATATCAATAGTTCTGTAGTTGATGGTTCTATTAGAAACTATTTTCTATATAAAAACGGTTCTTAGCTGGAAATTAGCTATTTTCCACTCGCCATAAAAAAAGAAAATATTGAAATTTTGTCTGCGAGCTGCCATTTTGATAGTCCAAGCAAAAAAGTCATCGCCATCAATGTTGTCACGCTAACGCTCGGACCAGACTGGATAATCGGACCATCGGAACCGGGTATTCACGATTTTGTAGTTGAATAGTTAAATGAATCTAATAAAATCTTTTTTTTTCCTGGTAGAGAATCTAACAAAATCAAATTCGATGATCGAACCGTTCATACGGTTGCAACTTGCAAAATCGGATATGAAGGTTCTCCGGTCCACTGCACTGGAACTGGGCCCTTGGGCCCAGGCCAAGCTCATTCAAGTATCCAAAAGCTAAAACGGTTCTACGTTCAGTCTGATTTCTGAATCGCTGTAGAAGATTCCCAACCAAAGAACATTCTCACAAAATGAGATTAAGTTGAGATAAATATATCGACGTTGATAATAAGCAAGATTATAATAAGGAATAAAACAGAAGTTGGTGATGTATGAATCGTCTTGATAATCTTTCTCATATTTTAAAACAAAAAAAAAAGTCAACGATGTTTGGTTAGAAGATTAGGGCAGAGAAAAAAAAATGGTAGCACGGTAGCACCAGGGAAGCAAGATGAAGGGTTTGAGAAGAGCAGTGAAATGCTTAAAATAGGTGAGAGATATCCATAGAATATTGAGGATCCATCCAACCTCAGAGAGTCAGAGAGTGCCAAGTATCAATGCAAATTCAGCTTTCATAGAGGAGATGCTTATTAGCCAGCCATTCGATCCATTGAGTAGTCTTCTTCACAACTTTCTAATTCTAGGAGTTGTTAGAGGAGCATCTTTCCACCATCCAAACTATCATTCTTTTATTCTGATCATGGGCCCAACTACTGTCCTTAGATCGTGGGGCCCATTTGATCATTTGGGTATCGATCCTCTGAATTAAGCATTGCTTAACTGACAAGTTATGGAGCTCCACTCCAGAGTTCATATAGGTTTATGGGTATAATAGATAAGTTCATTCCATTATGTAAATTTATCATGATTCAGTTTTTCTAGTAGAATAATTTTGACATGATGCAAATTTACCTTAGACTAAATATTATTCTTTTGTTATGATGTCTCTGTTTATTTCGACATAAAAGGGAAAAAAAATATTTTAAGATGAAATACTTGAGCTATATTTTACGCTGTGTTTGATTGCAGTATAATTTTATTTGTATTAGTACAAATGTATTGGAGTCCAAATGAAAAGAAAAATGCAAAGTTTGGTTTAATTTGTTTTGGGTTTAATTTTATTCTGCCTTGGGTCTCAATTGTACTGTAACCAAACAAAGTAAGATAAAATTTGAAACAAAAGTAAATCAAAATTTGCACCCAAATCATTTACATTATCATAGTTTTGCATTTGTGCAAATAAATTTAGACTGCAACCAAACACATCTTATGAATTATATCAGAGCAAATTAAAAATTTTCCTATGAAAAGGACAAATAATAGCCCAAGCCCCAAGTATTCTATATAATATAGGAACAATAAGCACAGCTGTAGAAAAATTTGTCTCTACACTAAGTAAAAGATATTATGAAAAAATACATTACACCCCACTGCAGAATTTTAAATTCCACTATAGACTTGTAAGACTACAATAATTCAAATGTATTGGCATCAATTCTGACCTTGCACCTAATCCCAACTATACCATGGGGTTAAGAATTCTAACAATGGGCTGAACAGTCATTCTCCCTTTATTAAAAAGGTTGAGATCTGCATTCATACACTTTGGTACAACTCTTTGCATGTAATTTTAATGCTTCTAAAATTTCAGTGTGACAAAAGAAAAAGAGATGAAGCATGGTGTGTACATGGATGCTGTGTCAAAAACCAAAATGTCGGGTATACAAATTGGCACACCATACCTAACGAATTGTTCCCACATCCATAGTTACATACCCACAAGGCACTCACTACCTACGTGTATTGGAATTTGAAAACGATTTGTGGATAGGACATCTGGAGTGAAATATAAAAGCAAAAATTCCATTTCAATACCCTGAACTTTGGGGTAGTGTCTAATGTCTAGTACCCAAACTTTCAAACTGTCATTGCATTACCTAAACTTTTAACCGTTAGTTATCTATTGAAAATATCAAAATTACCCTTCAAAAGAAGACACTGTTCATTGTCTTCTACCTTGAGAATGAATCGGTTGAGCCGTTGAAGTGTTTGAGATTCTAGACTAATGAAGTCATTGTCTTCTATCTTTAGATCTTAAATACATTCTTGTCTAGTTATTTCTTTGCTTTCAGTTATTGTTTCCCTTTATCATATTTCATGCTTTTTGTTTTTTCTTTGAAGATAATCAATTTAGTCTCAAGGTAGAAGACAATGAACAGTGTCTTCTTTTGAAAGGTAGTTTTGACATTTTCAACAAATAACTAATAGTCGGTTAATGACGGGGACCAACTTGACACTTTTTGAAAGCTTAGGTACTGCAATGACATGTATAAAAGTTCGGGTACTAACTTGACACTACCCCCAAAGTTCAGGGTACTAAAGTAGAATTTTCCCAATATAAAATGCCTCTACTTGTGCACATTATGATTATGTGTTTCACTCAGCCAAGTTACCAATCCGATCTAACTCACAAGTCAAAGGAATCTAAATTAGAAATAACAGAGGGTGCAAAAGAATTATGGTGGCCATTTGACGATTTAGGGGTATTTTACAACATGAATGTTTTTGTTTTAATTTGTTTTTTGAATTGCCACCTCAGCCAGAAAATAAAAACATGTTTTTGAATTCTATTTTTGTTTTCAAAGTGAAAAACAAGTTGGTTTTGTTTTTAAAGCAATACATATTTTTGGAATCAATAAAATATTAGCTTTTTAAATATAAACAAATTTTCTAGTATAAGACTTATATGATTTGTAGAACATGATGTTGAATAATTAGATAAAAATATGTTTTTGAAACCAAATTCAAGAATATAATTTTAGCTTTGGTTTTGAAAACAAAAAACATATACAACCAAAAACATATTTCTTGTGCATTTGTTTTAAAAAACAATCTATTTTTCGAACAAGATCGTTCTTATTTATTTTTAAAACCAGCAACAATAAAAAATTAACAATTAACACCCCTTAATCGACGATCCGGTGATCCACAAGCACTGGCCAAATGGCCATGGACCACTACATTTAAAGCAAGTCTGTTGATTTCATTTATCATAATGTATTTGTACTCCTTCCAAACTGAGCCTAAAGTCCTCTACCAATTGTAAAGAGTTTATTTTTTTCTCCATTACAAGTTAATATGCAACATTTATGGCCATCTAATTTGTCCTCTACCAATTGTTCTGTGTGTCTATCTCCATGAAATAATGAAATAAGTTGGTTGCACTTACTAAAGTAGTAGTGCTTGCCTCATATCAACTTTGTAGTTCAGATTGCAGGCTTGCAGTTGGAATTAAAATTACTGCTCATTACCACTTTCCCTGAATTGTTTTTCTTATTGTCAGCTCCAAAAACAAATGGAAACCACCTAATTTGAAAATAAGTTGTTAAAACAAATATACAAAAACATGTTTTTTTGGCTGTGTATATGTTTTTTTGTTTATTTTCAAATATTTGTCTTTAAAAGAAAACGCAATTTTAATGATTTCAAAAACATGATTTGTTTCTAGAACAAGGCCATTCACCCTTTAAAGCAAAAGGCCAAAAACGTTTTTGTTTTCTGCTGTTGATATGCCACTTATGAAAACAAGTAAACACAAAAACAATCACACCATCAAACACCCCTTTAATTAAACTGCTTGTCCTACCACTATTATAGTGAACTAAAATAATAAGATCAGATCATTTTGCTTATTAATTGATGTTCGTGTTAGGGGTGCAACTTGGGTATACTAAGTTAACATTTTACACTATTTGAGTTTGAGCTTTTGGATTGGATCCATTCAAATTTTGACGAAAATCCCAATCCAAGCCCATCCAAATTGTACACCTAAATACCTAATTGATGCCCTTTGAACCCTCATACATACTGATTATGCATTTGGACTGAAGTTCACCATTTCACTACAAGAAAATTGGCTTTTAGTGACGAACGCATAATGGTGTCTGTCACTATATATCATTTATAGTGACAAATTAAAATTTTTTTCACTATAAATTTAATATTTAGTGACGGAAAATTGACGGAGGGATTATCCGTCGCTATAAATAACCTATAGCAACGGATAATTGAAATTCTGTCACAAAATCTTTATTTATAGTGACATACAATTAAATATCTGTCACAAAATCATAAAAATTTGATGTATAGTGACGGATATATAATGTCCGTCACAAAAGTTTGTTTTGTAGTGACAGACAATTGAATTTTCGTAAAACAAAAAATGACTTATAGTAACCGACAATTGAATGTCTGTCACAAAATCACAAAAGTGTGACATATAGTGATGGACACTTAAGGTCTGTCACAACAAACTTCATTTATAGTGACGAACAATTCAAATTTTGTCACAAAATACTGATTTATAGTGGTGGACAATTGAATGTCTGCCACAAAATTAAAACTACAAGCTCTTCATTTAGGCTCAGTTTGGTAAGAATACAAATATAAATATCTACAATACAAATACATACCAAATAATACAAAATATAAGATTTTGCACTCTACATATTTATATTTGTTTAAAGGTTATTTATGTTTAAAATAATCCAATAAACTAGTCCTTTGAATTGTTGAATTGATAAGTCCAAATAATGGGCCATATACTATACATTTAGAGATT